GAGAACGCCTGGCATGCGGCGAGCTCCCCGCACCCACTGGCTCTGCGCAACTTGCTGCCTATTTGGGGGCTAAAGCGTCTTCCAAAGAATTCCGTGCTCATAGAACTCCGCAACAAAGCGTGAGTCCTACAGCGTCCGTCACGGCTTCAGGGTACCGCTCTTGAATAAACGGTTTCAGGACGAGAGTAGTTTTGTCTGCGGGGTAACTTATTTGAACAGATGCTCGGTATTGCTGCCAGCTTCACATGCGGAACCAACAAACACGCAGGTTCCTACATCTTAAAAAAGAAAACGCGTCTTAGATCGGAAGCGCACGCATCTCCTCGCCCGTGGTTTGCCGACGGCCGGCGTGGCAGTGCCCCGGCGTCCGGGACGGCGGGGCCCCCGTCGAGTTTCTGCTGAGACCAGACCTGGAGACTGGACGCCTGCCCAGCAGCAGCGGCCTCTGCAAAAGCAGAATCCACGTCGTCCTGGGCGCGTGACTGCGGGACAGTAAGAACGGGCCGTGGCCGGCCGGCCTGTCTGCTTAGTGAACCCTGGAGCCCGGCGTGGACACGCCGGCATCGGTGCGGCCCTGGCCTCCAGGCAGAGCAGGGCCCTGAACCAGGACATAGGCCAGCGCGTCCCGAGGCGCCTTACCCGGTGGCAGTGGAGGCCCCAGCGGCGCTGGTCCCGAGTCGGAGACGGGCCTGCGCTCCCGGTACCTCCCATCAGGCCCCAGCACGCACTGGCACGTCTTGTCCAAACGTCTCAGCACAGAGCTGGACCCGGGCCCCTGGACCTGCCGGGAGGCCCTCGGTCCTGCTCAGGCCACAGGGCGGTGTCCCCAGATTGCTGTGTTTGTTCACGTTCAGTTAGAAATCAGGAATCTACAAGTAGATTTTTTTTTTAATTTAAAATTAATTTTTATATTGTGTATTGGTACGCATGGTGGCACTGAGGGTGACGGCCCCTCCTGCTGGGTGCTGGCCCCTGGCCAACCTGCTTGTGAGTTACAGGTAGCCTTGCCATGGCACCGTCACTGGCGGGGGGCTGGGATTGACACGCAGTGTCCTCGTGCCCCACACTGCACTCCACACAGCTGGGGAGCGGGGCCACCTGCGCACTGCAGGGCCACAGCCTCCCAGCCCCCTGACGCCGTGACAGAGGGACCGCTGACCCCTGGCCATGCAGGGGCAGGGGCGCTGCTAATGTCTGACCTCGTGCCCACCACAACCCGAAGTGCCCAGGCCAGGCGGCAGCCACCTGGGGGTGGAGGCCGACAGGTCGCTGGTTGAGAACAGAGGATCCTGTGCGTGGCTGTGCTGCCTGGGCGTGTGCAGCGGGCCGGCCGAGGCTGACGGACCGCGGTCCACCAACCTCCCATCTGACTCCAGCTCCTGCCTGAGCCACGAGTGTCACACTCGCTTCTGAGTTACCATGCCTATGGGCCACCCAGGCCTGTTGGGACTCTTCTAAGAAAGCTTTTGCCTGAAGACACAAGTAACGAAACCTGTTTCTCTGATCATCAGTCTGGTAAGTGCTGAAGGTGACTTGTTTCCAGTTCACTTTGTTGGGCTGTGTGACAGTATTTGGTGGTGACGTAATTTTCAGTTTTGCTGATCTTGTCTTGGGTTGGGCGGCACCTGTTCCTCTCCTTAACATCCCCAAGCATCAGTGACGTCACTGAGAGGCGCCACTCCTGTCTCGGACCCTCCCGAAGGCGGGGTCCCTCCCTTGCCCGCTTGCAGGGCTCACACGGAGGGGCGCCGAGGCCCAGGGCCTGCGTGGACCTCCGCCCATGTGCGTGCCCCTCACCCAGCCGCTGGGTGTCTGCTGGGCTCACGGCCTGCAAGGTGACTGTGTCCTGAGACAAATCTGTGTGCCTCCGAGCTCCTCGTTACTAGAAAATTGTCTCTGGAAACCTCAGCGCATCTTTACAAATATGTGCGTCCCGTGAAGATGAGAAATGAGTTATGCCAAGAACTCACCTAGAGGGGAAATTTTATTCTCCAAAAGCTAAGTACCTGACTGCAGTGCAGCTGTGGTCCTTCTAGAAACGTCCTCTCACTGGGGTGTAACGGACGTGACCATTCCAGGGGCACAGCCCAGCACCCTGGCGTTCGCATGTGCTGCAGCATGGTCACAGCGGCACGTCTAGTTCACATCCGTCACCAGTTACCGAGTCCCTGGTGATGAGGGCTTTTAAGATGACTCTCAGCCCCTTCCGACGAGCAGCGCCCCCAGCGTCGGCGCGCTGCAGTCGCAGCCTGGGGCTCGCCGCCTTCTGCTCTCACGGGGAATTTGTTCCTTTGACCCTTCGCCCGTTTCTGCGCTCCACCCCCGCCTCTGGCAGCCGCCAGCCTGACCGCTGACTCAGCTGTGCAGTTGGCCTGATGGTGACCTGGACCCCGCAGGAACCGTGCCCTCTCCCGCTTGCTCCGTGCGCTCTGCCCGTGGACTGGCGGACACCGCCTCGGTCTGTGACCACCATGGTTCCGTCACTCAGTGTCTGTTTCGGCCGCTGTGAGTTCCTTCAAGTTGGCTGCGTGTCAATGCGCCACCACCTCGAGACATCCCCACCTTCCGGCACCGCAGAGGGGCCAGGATCCGGCTGCCTCGGAGCCCACCACGTGGGTGGCCAGGGGCTCTGGTTCGTCGGAGGGCGGTGTCAGGAACCAGCATCTGGCATTGGCCACCCAATGCAACTGGGGTGTCGTCACTTGGCCCTGTCACCGAGCAGAGCTAGGAAATGCAGGCGTGTGCTCACACACAGTATTCGTTGCGTGCCCTGCAGATGTAACACACCTAACGTGAACGCCACACCACACCCCGGGCTGCGCCTCCTCCTTCCCGTGCGACGCTGACATCCTAGCGCTCAGCAGTGGCGCACGCAGCCCCTTGGGGACCCGCGCCCGGAAGGAATCGGCATCTGGGCGCGGGGCGGTGTTCACGCAGCTCTGCCTGCAGCCCGTCGGGTGGGTCCCCTCCCTCCCTGCCACACGGGGCTGTTCCCCCAAAACAGTGCTTTTAATGGGCTGACCAGGGCAGCAAGTCAGGCGCAGAGGTGCCACGTGCCTCCTGCCCCGCCTTCCCCTCCCCCACCCCCAGCCCCGTAAGGAGCCGGCCTTCGTTTCCGGCACATTCCCACCGGACTTCTCGTGCACACGGTAGCGTCCGGTGCGTCCTCTGGTTCACCGGTCTAGTTTGGACTCAGGGGGCTCATCTCATCTCTTCTCCCAACGGTGTCAACTGCGGCAGCTCGCCTGACACCAGAAGGTCCAAGCAGGGATGGGCCACCCGCTGGGCTGGCCCGTCCTTCCCAGGTCGGCCCCGCGCCGCGCCGATGGGTTCGAGGGACGGGGTGGCTGTGGCTGCCGGTTTACAAACGACCCGGCAGTGCAGCCCACACGCACTGGGCCGATTCGCAACCGCCCGCCACTGATTCCGGTCCGTTGTGTACACAAACACTCACTTGAGTGTATCTTGGAAATGAGTCGGTTCATCGACCCTTTTCTGAAGCTGCGCTGTGTGGCGTGTGGACCACCACAGCCTGCTCGCCCAACCCCGTGCACACCTGTGCCGCAAGCATCACACACATACAGGTGCGTTTTCAGACGAGTTTCTGTTCCAGGTAAGTTCCTAGAAGCAGCTTCGAGGTCACGTGGAATGTGTCCTGTTAAAGATCTGTCCAATTTCCCTCCAGGGTGCTGTCCCCATCTGCATGTCTTCTGGCAAAGTACAAGTGTCACACTGGTTTACAAGCTCACTCTGGTTACTGCAGACGTCTGGGTCAGGAAACCGCGTTTAAACGTAGCTGGCAAGTGTTCTAATTTGTGTTGCTCTAAAACTGTTTGGATAAATGTTATTGAACAGTAGGAAGGTCCGTTTGCTGAAGCTCAGTTACTGTGCTGTCAGTCACCCAGCCTGACACGTGTACGCACAGTCACGTGACCGCCGTAATGGTGCAGTGTGACGGGAGAGGCCCCTAGGAAAGCCCGTCTCGCTTGTGCAACACGCTTCCGTAACAGATGCTGAGGACTGAAGCCCATTTCATCAGGAGCTCGGCTAATGCCATCGGTGACAGGAACAAGCATGACTGCCCAAGTGATGGTTCATGTGGCAGTGGGGGACTGCCCTTGCTGGGACATGCTGAGCACAGCCCACAGTGGACAGAAGCAGAGAGACAAAGCCTTCATTTCCCATGAAAGACAAACACTCCTGAACCGCCTGGCCAGAGCAAGTCAGTGTCACCTCACAGACCTCCTCTCCTTAAGAGCCTGCATCACAGAATTCAGATGCCATCCACCCAGCCTCTCTGAGTGAAAGGGCGGTAGACCGCTTCCAAGGTAACTGTTTCAACAGAAACCAGGATTTTAAAAAACTGTTACATTTATTTTAATACAACTGAATTTAGTGAACAGCATATAAAGTGTATCAAACAGGCAGCCTTTGAAACATGCTGTAGAGAAAATAAAGAACTCGACAAGGGGAACTGAGCCGGTTTAATCAAAAAGCTTTTATGACGTGTCATTTTAAACCATATGTAAATACAGTCACCTCTGAAAGATTTGGCAAAGATTTATTTTTTCCTATTTCCAGTCTTTTAAAGTAGACACAGATTTGCTGAGAATGAAGCCGATTCGAAGAGCACGCAAAAATCGATCAGACGACACGACACGCCTCAATTCAGCAGTCTGAGTGGGACGAGGACGGGGCTGGGCAGATGGCAGCCTCGTCATCCCAGGTGGTCGCTCAGCCCACCCGGCGACAGGAAGCAGGCCAGTGTGCGCTGCACAGGGCTGCCCTGTGCCCACGGCTGTTTACAGCGTGACCAAGGACAGCAGCGGGCAGCGGCGGTCTTTGAGGACAGCCGTGCCCACTTACCACAATTCCTGTAGCAGTGACTAGAAGGCCACAGTGTCAGTCTGGGTGGACCTTTACATAGTTCATCTGAACGTCAACGTCACTCACTCTCCCGAAATACTTAGTGTTTTAACTGAATTAAGGATCACACAATTTTGTTAAAATACTACACACATCATGACGAACACGGTAAAATTATTTATACTTAGATATTTGGATATTATAAAGAAAACACATTACCAAATTACAGTAGATGTCAGCGTGGCATGCTCACTAACTGATCCCACAGGTGTGACTACAGGGTAGCCTGGCTGAGTGTCCGTCCTTTCGTCTCACTAGGGATGCAGCATCTACAGAACACACACACACACAAGCGGTGCGGCCGCGAGGACCACGACAGCTCTGCAGCTAGCTGTGTCGCAAGCTCCGGTGTCAATCCCGCTCCAGGAAGAAGCCGACTCCAGCTCTCCATCAAAAGGTGCTGGTGGAGGTGGTCAGGCGCCGTCCGATGTAGATCCTGCCGGGGGAGGGGACTCTGAGTGCGGCTCGTCACCCCACAGCGAGGGAGCCGCCAGCTTGCTTCCGCTCCCGCAAGTGAGGCAGACTGCGAAGGGGTGGCAAACCTCCCCTGTCGGGGTGTCCCCGTCGGGGTGACCGAGAGAAGACCGAGAGTGCTGACGGCGTGGAGCACGCAGCCCTCAGAGGACACGCGCCCCCTGCACGTCCTCACAGCGAAGGGAACGCAAGCGCCCCTACCCTTCACTGACCCGGCAACACGCCGCAGGGCGGGCCACTGTCACTGCACACAGTAATGGCCGCCGGCCTCACAGAAGCCATGGCTGAAGCTGCGGCTCCTGGAAAGGGGGACAGAAGGGGGGGAGCCTCCTCGGGAGAGCTGGAGGGTGGGGCTCAGCCTAACGGTAGGGAGCTGGCTGCAGAAACCCTCGTGAGGTGAAGGCCCTGCCCCCAGAACCCGATGTGCTGGCTCGGGGCGCTGGAGCAGTCCCCGTCTGTGACACCAGAAAGGCCTGGGAAAGTGCTGGCCACGGTGAGTCTGGACACACTGACGTCCAGGGGCCTGAGGCCAGCCCGGGGAGCCACTAGTGTTGGCGGGAGTCAAAGGTCAGGGAAAGCAACCCCACTCACCTCCCCCGAGGCTGCTGACTGGCCACAATCCGTGAGACCCTGAGCCCCGAGACTTAGAACACACGGGCCCACAGGGGCTCCGGGGTCCTGCCGACCTGTCTCAGGCACAAGCCCGCCAGCCAAGACCAGAAGCCCGTCCTGACAACACAGCGAACCGCAGCCGGAGCGCTGTCCCCCGCCCAGGGCTGGGCCGGAGGGGGCGGCAGGGTGCTCAGCTGCACCTGTGTTTTCCACAGCATTAGCGTGACAAGCCGCACACCTGAGCGCCTGGCTGTTCTGGCACTGCAGGGGCCACGAGCACCTCCCAGCAGAGGTTCAGAGTGTCCCGCAGCGTGACACACTGAGGGACAGCTGCAGCCACAGAAGCAGGCCCAGGCCACCCCGCAGCTGGGGCCGGGCCCCGGTTGCAGGGCACGTCTGTTTCCTGAGCGCACGGGGACTTCCCTGGCTCGTCAGTGGACACGCTGCTACGTAAGCTGTGACCCAGGACCTACATGTCGGTGGGAAGCTGACACCCTGGGCCCGGAACCCGCGCGGCGGGCAGGGCGGGCAGGGCGGACACTCACCCCAGGCCGATGGCCAGGAGGTGCGACAGCAGCAGGGACGGAAGGAAGACCTTGAGGAACTCGGCCGAGCAGACGCCGCCCCTCTTCATGACGCTGGTGTTGCGCATGCTGAGCGCGGCCGTGCGCCTCGGGCGCCGGAGCAGGAACTCCCTGGGGGAGAGGGCTGTGGCAGCGAGGGCGGCGGTGGCCCTCGGCCCGCGGGGTGCGGGGCTGACAGGGGACTCACTTGGGGGGGACGTTCTCCGGCCGACTCGACCAGTCCCAGATCCAGTCGGAGTTTTTCTTCAGGATGCTCTCGACCTCCTTCCTCCTCTCCAGGTAATCCTCCTCCGACTGTGACAGCAACGGGGAGGGCACTGAACCTGCGGCCCATACGGGGCAGCAGCCCCACGGGCATCGGACCACGCGCCCCCCCCCAGGCACAGACCACCCCTCCTGACAGTCCCGACTGGGAGGCTGGGGCTCCGAGAGCGGCAAACACTGCCAGGAAGCAACGCGCAGTGAGGACAAACGTCCACAAAGGTGCCGACCGCCGAGCCGGCTCCACAGAGGAAAACGGGACAAGCCTGAGGCCACGCGGCAGGCGCCCCAGACGGCCGCCCTGCGCCAAGGGCGCCGTGCGTCCGAGGCCAGAAGGCCGCTTGGGGACTGAGCGCGGGTCAGACACGCTCTCCTCTCCTCCTCTGCACTTGTGACTTCTGCACCTGAGCATAAAACTTTATAGAATCCAAGAAAATTAACGTTTTGGAAATGGACCAGAGTGCAGTATTTTTTCAAACCAACTGTGTGATTGTGACACCGTGGCCAGGGGTGGTCCCCGAAGGTCTGGGGGGTGGGCCGGCAGGGCATCCCAACAAAGCCTGGGCCTATCCTGGCTGAGGGGAGGGGACCAGGACCGCCACAGTCACTAAAAAGCACGGCCAGGGCACACGAGGCAGGTCCTGACTGGAGCCCCTCACACAGACCCCAGGCGGAAATCACAGCCTGGTGGCCCCGAAGGCTAAACCTCCCGCACCACCCAGCACAGCACAGGGACTTTCTGGAGGCACGTGCAGGCCCAGTGAGCAAGTGTCAGCTCCACAGCCACGATGGCAGGGGGTTTGGGGCGGCCTGCAGGTCGTGCCGACTCCGCACAGCAGACACCAGACCCCACTGCCCACCTGCAGCCAGGCCGGGCACAGGGCCACCCTGTCCCACCCCTGGCCCCACTCCTTTGGCTCCTGTGGGCCAGGTGTTTGGGGTGCCTCCACCCACAGCCTAAAAGGCCCAAAGCCAGACTGCTCTCCACCACACCACCGCGGACCCCAACTGCAGGCGCCCCACCCGCCCACCTGGGAGCTGTTCTTTTCTCCGATGCTGTGGCTGTCGGCCTCGGACACTCTGTTCGTATCTTGCGGGGTCTGCGAGCGAGGCGGGCTGCGGGAACGGCGTGAGTGAGGGCGGGAAGGACAGACGCACCGCCGGCCTCTCCGTCGGAGAAGCAGGGCCCACAGGGAGGGGCGGCTGTGCTCCCTCTCCCGGCGCCAGGCCAGGGCACCAGCCGGCCAGTCCTGGGGGCCGTGGGACGCCAGAGGTGGGGGGCCTGTGGTATCACATGTCACAGGGAGCACCTGACCCCGATTTCCAGACCTCCAGACCCGGCCATGCTGCCCTGGCTGACGGGCCAGGCCGAGGACAGGCCAGGACAACCAGCCTGACCAAGCCAGCTGAGGAGCCAGCCGCTGCGGGGTCCTTCCTCCCCGCCCCCAGCACGGCATCCGAGTGCGCACCCACCTGTCACAGTGTGAGCTCTTGGAGCTGCTCCGACCAGACTCGTGCTGGGCGTCCAGCAGTATCTTCTCCATGTCCCCATTGTACATGGAAACCGAGGCTGGAGCGCTGCTCGCGCTCCCATTGCTGAAGTGCAGCTCCACCCACGAGCCTGCGGGGACGGACAGAGCAGATGAGCTTTCTGCGAGCTGCGCGCCTTCCAACAGCCCGCCGCCCTCCCCTCCCCTCCCCTCCCGGGGTGCAGGCCAGAGCGGCGCCCCAAGCCCCCCCACCAAGCACAGCCCAGCCTCTCCCTGCCCAGGCCCACGGTCAGGAGGGTCCCACTGGGCACGTGCCGTTTTGCACTGAACTGTTAGAACAAACGGGGTGTCAAAAGGAGCTTAAAAGATTCAGTTTTTTTAAAGGCTTCAACTCTCTTACCAACCTAGCCCCATACAGCAGCATGACATTCTGACCCCACGGCCCCAGAAACCTCACGATGGCTGCTCTGTACTCATCACACCAGCAGCCAGACAAATGTCAACATGACAAAGGTGACTTCAGACTCCACTCGACTAATAAAAACAAGCCATCCCCAGCACCGCTTAGCCAGGTCCATACGAGAAGTGAGCTCAGCATCCATGCTTGCTCGAACTAGAAATTGACATGCTACATATGCCAAACTTAATGTATCCTGACAGATTTCACAGATTCAAAGAACTGTCTCCCTCGCACCGGGTCACCTGCTCACCAAAACGCAGTGCAGAAGCAGCTACCACCCCACGCCAACCGCAAACCCTGTGTGTGAAGCCGTGATTCCAAGCGAGGCTTTGTCTCCTGCGGCCGTGTTGGGAATGAACCAGATCAGTTCTGTCCCACCCAACAGCTGACATGGCACGCTGCAGTGACGGCTGTGCTCGGGCTGTGTGTCTGCTGACGGGCAGAGCCCCACCCCAGGGGGCCTGCAGAGATCGGGGGACCCTGTGAGGTGTGTGTGGGATGACGAGGGGAAGGCGAGGAGAGCCGCTGGTCTTGCCTGTGTGTGTGTCTTGCAGTTTGAAAGGTGAGACAGTTGATAGAAAACAGCTTTGGCACGTCTCACAAAAGGACAGGCGAGAGCCCTCCCCGGAGATGGCATGCAGGTGCTGCCAGGCGCATCCCACGCGGCGGCTGCAACACCGCAGCTGTGGGGACAGAGGCTGGGAGGGGCCGGCACCCGGCAGCGACCCTACGGCTGCACGCGAGGGGCCGCCAGGCGTGTGGGTCCATCCGTGTGGCGAGCACCGCTGTCGCTGCGTCCAGAATCGCACCGTGCACGCCGCCACCATTTGCTGTCCTGTCCGGCGTGCCCGCTCCGCACTGGCCGCTGGCACCACTCCACCGCGTCCCTGTGCAGGCTCTGCGCGGGACACATACCTAGGAGTGGGGTCGCCAGGTTCAAAGACAGCGCACGCGTCCAACGTCACCGGAAACAGCGCTGCCGTCCACTGCAGCTGAACCAACAGACAGTTCTCCCAACAGAAGCATGTGTGTTGCTTTGCACTTGTCACCGGTCTGCACCCTCAGCCATCCTGTGGTGTACGCTGGAGTCTCGTGTGGTTTCTCCTGCACTTCTGGTCACTAATGAGGCCGAATGTTTTTTTCACGTTTACGGCCATTTAAACGGCATCTTTCTAAATCGGCAGCTCAGAAGCCTCACCCTCTCTGCTGGGCAGGCTCCTTCGAAATGCTGCAGGAGTCTGGGGTTCCAGAGACAGGCCGAGCCCCGCATGAACGTGCTGCAAGTCACTTCTGCCACTGTGGCGTCTCGTCACCCTTACCGTCTTCTGATGAGCAGCAAATCTTGAGTTTAAGTCTTTCGAGTTTTCAATCTCCTCCTAACCTGAGGTCGTGACAGTGTTCTGTATTTCCAAACAGCTGTATTGTTTTCACACTCCTTTGGACCTGGGTTCCATGAGCCTGGATTCCATGTGTGTGTCACCAGACGCGGCTTGGTTTCCAGTCCCTGACCAGCCGGCCCCTGCTGCTCCCCTGGGCGGCGGCCCCATCAGCAACCAAGCAGCACGCAGAGCCTGTGTCTGGGCCCGATGGCTGTCTGGCTTGTGTCATGTGTTTGTGCATCCCCGGTGTGTGTACTGCTCAAAGACCCCGGTGGCATCTGGAGGACAGGTGCAGGCGGGGTAGGGCGAAGGCAGAGAGAAGCCTGGAAAATTCGTGTACTAGGAAAACTCCACGAGCTAGACTGCAGTCGCCCGCACGTTATGACAACCTGCGCCCAGAGGTGCTACCCTGTGCTGGAGCCTACACGGCACCGTGCAGTGACAGGGACAGAGCGGCTGGTCCTCAAGCCAGCACTGCGTTCAGGATGCCCGAGGAGGGGAGGCCACCGCCATCACTCCGCTGGCGGGAGAGCGGACCACAGAGGAGCCCCTGGCGCCAGGCAGCCTCTCTCCAGAGGAGTCCTGGCCTCACCCTCCATGCTGGTGGCTGCAGAATGTGCCCTCTCGACCGGAAGAAAGGCAATCCCAGACCGGGCAGGAAGGGGGACCTGCCGCCCGTGCACCAGCCTCCCACGTGGCTAACAAAACGACCGCACCAGTTCCTTTTCAAACTAGCTTCGGGCTTTTCTCGCGTTGCAAGCACACAGCGGGAAGGCGGTCCCTCCTGCTGCCCAGGGCTCCCTGGACAAAAGCCCAGGCCACTGCAGGGACGCCCCCTCCGCCACCCGAGGCCGCTCACCTGCCACCACTTACCAGCTGCACTGACACCTCCTCGCCCTGAAGCGTCATTAAAACACAAACCTGACAGTCCTCCACTAGCCCTCCTTCCTTCCTTCCCTGGGACTCGAGGTGACAGCCAGCAAGCCGGCTCCGGCCCCTGCGCTGGCACGGTTCCGTTCTTCCAGGTTCAGTCGCTTACTCAGATTCTGGGTCTGGCTCCGTGCGCTCACCCAGGCTGACGTGCTGCCCGCTCGCCGCCGGGCCTGGCACGACCGGAGGCTGGTTATCCATGCCACTGACATGTGGGCGTTTCCACACCAAGAGCCGATTCTCCAAGACCGCACAGCAGTCCAACACTCCAGTTCGCTGGAGCTGGCATGAGGTCCCACAGGTTCTAGTCCCACAAGACTGCCCCAAAATGGGATGCCCAGGTCACCCGCACTTCCCCCTGACGGGCCCCGACCCCTCTCCCCAGGTTCAGTAACTCCCTGGAATGGCACACAGGACTCAGAAAACCCCCTACTCATGTTTTGCGATCTATCAGAAAGGACACGATCAGGGACAGCCACCCAGGAGATGCAGAGCCAGCGTCCCCACCCCCTCCCGGCACCTGGTGGCCTGCTAACCCAGCCCACCCACAACCCAATCTCCAGCCCTCTCCCCGCCCTGCCCTGCGGGGGTGGGTGCCTGGTTCCCACCCTGTAATCAGGGGTGGCCTTTCCAAACCTCAGCCTGAGGGGCTCCCTACAAAAGGGACAATAAATAACAAAGTCGCTACTGTCACTCAAGAAACCTCAAGGGTTTTATTGCTGTGCCAGCGACCAGGCACAAACATTAAATTTTTTAATTGAAATATAATTGACATAGAACACGTCAATTAGTTTCAGGTTTACACGTGTGTTTCTTATTGTACCACGAGGGCCAACTCGAGACTCCACGGGAACAAGTGGATGCTTTCTGGAGTCATCTCGTAGAAAGTCCTAAGCTTCCTGGAGAAAGGGGGAAAAAATCCCACTCTGGACTGTCCACAGCAACAGCGATGGATCCAAAATCTATATTCCAAGGAATGACTTACCAAAGGACACAAGTTTTATTATTAACCTGCAGCAACTGAGTGGGCAAATGCTTCCTGGAAAACGAAAGCGCACGCTAGTCATCCACCCGCATTCTGCGATGATTAAGATGATTAAGATCTCTCGGGATTAAGGCTGCTTCGTAAACTTAGAAAACTTCCTCGGCATCACAAACAATCTACCGACTAACTGGTATAACTGGGCGTCAGGAAAAAGCACAGCGGCGTCCTGACCAAGGCAAGTCCACAGGCCGCCGGGCTCCCCACCCCCACTCCTGCTGGCAGCTGGCACCACGAACAAGACGCCGCAAGTCGGTCTCAAGCTCTGCACCACGCAGACGAGACAGTGCCCCGCCCCCCGTCCCTGCCTCTGCTGTGACAGACGGGTGACCTCGCGACACTGCCTCTCCACACCCCAGGTACACCCACCAGAGCCCCAGTCTAGCGGGGCAGCAGGTCCAGGCTGGCAAGGGGAAGCCCCTGTGGTGCGTCCCCACTGCTCCCCAGAGGCCTGGCCCACTGCCGCCCCCCCACGATTCTTTTTCTTTATTCCTAGAAATCTGAAGACATTGTTATCGCTTGTAGTTTTTTTTATTTCCTTGGTTTTATATGAATGAAATCTTATCTTTTACAAAGTGATAATTTACCTCCTCCTCCTTGATCTCTATCAAATTTCTTTTAATAACTGTATTGGAGAGGAGGTCAAACCAACTTTGTTTATAACTTATTGATTCTGATGAGTTTCCAGCATCTGGCACGTCGGTTAGGCATCTGCACGGTTCACGAAAGGATCTCCCGGTCGCGCCCTCCCGCCCTGGCCCTCCAGCTAGCCCACATCTTATTTGGAGCGCTGGGGCCGAACCCCAGAGAGCAGATTTTGAAAGAGCTACAGCGGCGCTGATGGCAGCCAGGGCTGAAAATGACTGGCTAGGGGAAGGGCAAGCATTCCAATGGCAAAAGGAGGGATCCCATCAGAACAGAGGACATTCCAGAAGGATCCTTGGCCAAAGGGAAGGCCTGCCGGGCCCATGCCCAGTCGCAGGGCTTCTTCCCTGGGGGAGGTGGGAGTTCGCTGCCAGCTGGGGCAGGCAGGAGACCGAGGCCACCGCCAGTGATTTCAGACACAGTCACCTGGCTAGGTAATTCTGGTTCCCGGTTCCTATCAGAAGCTGGGTGACAGGACTCCTATTCAGGCTCCCAGCACCCCGCTGGCACTCAGTGGAGAGCCCCCCTCATTGTTCCTCAACTGTTGTCACTCGCCTGCCTTACTTTCCACGTAACCCCTGGGCCTCGCCGTGACCATCTGAGAAACGCGGGGAGTGGGAACGATTTCGATGTCTGAAAGCTCAATGCTCGCAAACCGCGCAGACCACAGCTGGCCTGCAAAACACACAAACTATTCTTGTCCACCCGAGTTGCCTATGACAACAGAACCGTCTGACCACCTGTGATACAGCAAGGCGGGGGGGCGGTTCCAGCAGCCATGCTCAGAACAGGGGCTTCCTGGGCAGGCCGCCAGGCACCTCCCCGCCCGTGATGCTGGACGTCACATCTTATCATCACAAAGGTCGGCCCCCTCCTGCACCTCAGCTGTCATAAAGGAGAAAA